CCCCTCGCACTGCTCCCACCGCCGGGCCCCTCCTCAGCCCAGCGCCCCCCTCTCCTCAGCCCAACGCCCCCCTCTCCTCAGCCCAACGGGCGCCCCTGCCTGCCCCTCTCAGGGGGTTCAGCCATGGGCCGAAGGTCCTCGTTTTAGCCGCCCGCGAGGTCTGGTCCCTCAGGCTCAGGAAAAGGGTGTTTCGCACAGCCCCGGGAAGGAGAAAGCCCGGGCCTCGAGGAGGGCTGCAGCCCCACGGTGGTATGAAGGCCGTGCTGCCCTCCCAGCTGGGGGACCCATAGCGTTTTGGGTGGCCGGCTGTACACTGAGGCGCAGGAGAGTGCCTCGCCCCACGGTCCATCCGCCTGTGCGCTGCCTTGCAGCGGAGCCGGTTGCTGACTCAGGCTGGTTGGTCAAACGCACCAATGTAGGTGACCACACGCACGAGAGTGCTAGTTAACGCGGGTGCCAAAAGTATAGACAGGCAACCAGGGCTCAGACAGCTCAATTCATCCATAACTAGTCATAAGTGAAGGCTCTGGAAGGATGAGGGGTGGCAGCTGCACGCAGATGTTTCTACACCCCGTGGTCAGCACCGATAGATAAGAATTAATGAGGTAATAAAGTCTCACTGAATAGTTTTGTACCAGTTAAAGTTCAAGCGTATTACATACATTTCAGTCTTGAGCACATTTTGCAAAGCAGCTCTCCTGCCTGTAGGTTTTGGCTACATCTGTGGTCAGAGGCGGCGGGCATCATCATATCCACTTCTAGAAAAGAAAGCGACTGTTCTAGACAGACTGGTATAAAAGCCAGCGGGAAAGAAAGGTGACTTAGCATGATAGATTGCCTATACCAATCCTGCTTTGATTTGCAGATGAGTAACTTAAGAGAGAAGTATCTTTAAAACACGTAATTTGCTGTGACTGGTTCAGGAGGCACCCAGGACTGGAACAGCATTACTGTCATCTGGATGCACTACTTTCACTTACCACTTAATCACTCGATTAACAATTCAGGCAAAAAGCCACACACACTTCATGCAAATATCTAGCTATCCATTAGGCATAATAAGTGAAATGAAATTACCATGAGGATATTTCTAAATCGGCTAATAATTGTTGTGTTTTTACAAGCCGGTAACATTGGTTAGCTGATGAGGGGTAGACATCAATGCATATTTGTTGCCTGCAGTTAGTATATGCCCTGGAGAAAAACTTTATTCATCTATACTGCCATCAGTTAAAAGCAGGAA